GTTCCCATTTCCATGAAACCCCCAAGAGGGACTGGAGCACCCTTGCATCTCTCCCTAATGGCCCTGCCCAAGGCCTCCCAGGAAGAGTGAAAATGGGCTGGTTTTGGGGGGTCCTCCTGTGTGCGTAGTGGGGTAGCTCACCAGTCCGTCCTCTGTATCAGCCTGGGGATGCCTGGAAGGCCCCTGTCATGATCTTCTGTTCTCATGATCTGAACTGAGACTCACCTGAGCACAGCCTTGTCCTCTTTCTCCCCCCTAAGATGTCAGGGGACACCCCTGTGGGTCACCATGCCCCTGGGCCTCCTGGGGATGACAACAGGTGGGGAGCTGGTTTCTGTGGATCCTCCTCTTTGTGGGCAAGAAGTCTCTGCAGTTTTCCCTCAGAGGCCTCATCTGACTACTGGCTGCTCCTGGATCTTCTATCCTTCCCAAGATGACAGTATGACCCAGGGAAAAAATTAATGTGACTACCCTGAAGAAAACTGTAAAACACTACGTCACCATGGTGATTAAATTAACATCATCAACGACAAATTGTGTTGGTAGTATGTGCCTTCGGTACGATATGATAAGAATGGCACTTGTTTTCAAAATCAAGTGAAGTCTCAGTGAACTGGCACAGCCAAAGGGCATTTAAAGAGACATGATGAAAAAATGTAATGGAGTATCCGCAGGGGATCCTGGGACAGAAAATAGATTTTCAAGACAAGGAAATACATGTGAATTAAGTATGTTTGTTAATAAAGAAAGGATGTTTGCATAGGAATAGTACCAGCTCTTTTTTAATAACCACGTGTTAACTTACTTGCCTCTGAGATAATCCCGTCTCCAAATAATGCCACATGTTAATTTCAACATAAGATTTTAGTGGGGATGCAATTGAATCTGTAATAGTGGAAAGGGAATTGGCAGACCTATATGTATATTGTTACCCATGTGTAGTTATAAACACAGACATAAGCTCGTATATGCATAAATTTTATTTTAAAAATCACGTCTTTCTCAAAATTCTAAATCAGCTTTTAAATGTAAACACCACATGGTTAATTGTGGAAACTACTGAATAGGGGGCTGAATTTTGGAGGAACTTTCCAAAGGGAAGAATTGTGATTTCTATCTCCTTTTAAAATATTTGCAATAAAAATATATGCAGTATTTATTTGTAAGGAAAGTATTGAAATAAGCCTAAGAAAAGGATGATGAGCAGTCTAGGAGGCAGATAAAGTAACAGTAAGCTCATGGAACAACAACAAAAAAGCCTTGATTTTTACATGACTTAACACAAGTTTACTTTTTTGTACATAAATTCTGATTTTAGTTGGCAGGGTATTATGGGCTGAATTTTGACTCTCCCCCAAAATTCATATATCCAAGTCTTCAAACCCAGTATCCCAGAATGTGACTGTATTTGAAGATAGAAACTTTGAAGAGGTAATTAAGGTAAAATGAGGTCTTAAGGTCAGGTTCATATTCAGTATGACAGGTGTCCTCATAAGAAGTGCAGATTATGATACAGACACACAGACCGAGGAAAAATTGTAAGAATTCAGTGAGAAAGTGGCCATGAGCAAGCCACAGAGAGGCCGGGGAAGAAATCAAACCGGTTAACATCTTGATCTCAGATATTTACCTTCCAGAAATGTGAGAAAATACATGGGTATTGTTTAATCACCCAGTCTGTGGTACTGTGTTATGGTGTAATAAACTAACCGACAGCGAGTCCTGGCTTTCACCTCAGCCAAGAATCCAGGCTGCTTTCACCTTGTAGCTCCATGTCACAACAGATGTTAAGCGCTGAACAGAAACGAACGCATGGGAGCGGTGCACTGGCTTCTGTCTAACTACAAATGAACCAGCCAGGAAGGTGAGCTAGACAAGATGGAGACGGGTGCTTGTCGTCTCTCCCATATGTTATTATGGTGCTCAATGAAAAGCAACTATTATAATTGATGACAGGAAGTCTCTTCATAGCTTGGAATTGTTTCTGGGAATGTCCGCATAGCCTTGAAATCTTCCACCTTTTTCTTGCACCTACGAGGTGACTGGTGGTTTCAAATACAGGATTACATCCAGTTTTAAAACAATTCTGTAAGTCTTGGCAGAGAGGG